CTACTAATTTCTATTGCTTTATTGAAAGGAACTGTTAATGTTTAATTGTTTGATAATCTTATATGCCTATATTTGTTTATCTGAGTAAACAATATGAAGATAACAAAATGTAATACAAGAACCATTGTTAACTTCCTATCACCTTGTCTGAAATTCTGTATTGCTTTGCTTTTATGTTGCTGTGTTTATGTCTGTGTGTTTGTTAATGTTTTCATTCCTTGTCTTTAAAATGAAAAAAAGATCAGTGAATCACTCACATAAAGAGTTTCTTCTCCACCACAAAGATCTCCCCGGCTGACTTGTTGCTGAAACACTCGTACACAGTCAGCATAAAGAGTACCAAGGCTCTGGAGGTCAGAATGAAAACAAAATCACCACAATTAACACTCAAGGTGCTTTTCTACCCAGGAACACTTTCCAGAAATGATGTAACTCAGCAGGTTTGCTTTTAAAAAAGGAAAAGGAAAGTAAAGCTGCTGGTTAAAATAGAGAGGAAATCATGATTGCAGGAGGACTCTCTCCTATTTCTGTGCCTAAACAGGTGACCTGTGACTCTGTATTTCAGCATTTTTAAAATTCATGGTCTTAGGTGGCTGTAAAATTCATGTTGAAGCCAGATCTCCTGGCCCTGGACATCTCCTGAGTCCGTGGGGATGTAACTACATTTAGATGCAGTCAGGAGAGAAGGGTCTACAAATTGGGATTAGTGTCCATAGAGGAGGTGAAATCCCAAAGTGGTGTCTTCTGTGAGACAGGGCAAGGTGGAAATAAATGTTTGCAAGCCAGGGCTGGAGCCTCGCTGGAGTCTGCGCTTGCCAGACTAGAACCCTGACTGCGGACTGCGGACTACAGGACTGAGAAGAGATAAAGCTCTGCGGCTGAAGGCACTGAGCGTCTGGTAGCTCTTGTTATGGAGCAGTGCTGGGATTGTTTTGCAGCAGCTTGTGGATGCTGGGCAAGTGCTCTTCCACTGACATGCATCCCTAGATGGAGATATTATGATTCATAAACACACTGTTAAATACTAAATTAATGTGATTAAAGTGATACCCATCACCTCAAACATTTATCACTTTTTATTGTGAGAAAATTTCAAATTTACTCTGTGACTTTCAAATGTACATTATTATTTATTGTATTCACTAGGCTGAGCTATATCTCAAATACTTTCATTGGTTCCTGTGATACATAATAATTATATTCATCTTGTGTTCTTGGTACATACACATATCACATCTTAATCATTTTTGCTTCACTTTCCCTCCATACCCTCTACTCTACCCCATACCCAGCCTTCCCTCCCATCTCCACAGTGTCTACCTCCCTGCTTCCCATCACCTCTTTTATTTTGTCCTTTATATTTATTTTGAGGTTTTCATAGATATTCTACAAATGACTCAAACTTACCATCTTTATGACTTAGTACATTTATATGTTAAATAAAATCTCTCTATACATATACATATATACATATGTGTATATATGTATGTATATATCCACTCTTTACTGTTCTTTTGTTGGTGAGCATTAGAAGCTGCTCCTCAAACTAGCTCTTATGAATTGTACTGCTATAAACACTGGTACATATATATCAATATAACATGATGTCTTATAATCTTTCAGGAAGATATCCAGCAGAGGTCAAGTTGGGTCAAGTAGAATTCTTATTTTTAGCTTGGGGATTTACCATTCTGATTTTCTTAGTGGTTGTACTAGTTTATGTCCCATCAAAAATGTAGAAGTGTTCTCCCACCCAGCCTCACCAACATTTGTTTTTTGAATTCTTTATGATTGTTATTCTTTCTGGAATAAGATGAAATCACGGTGTTCTTTTTATTTGCATTTTCTTGAAGAACTTACTGGCCATGTGTACTTCTTTAAAGCATCTATTCATTTCTGTTGCCCATTTTTGACTAGGTCTCTTATTTTGGGGATCTACTTTTTTTTTCTTTTACTTCTTTGTATCATCTAGATTTTAGTCCTCTGGGAAATAGATGGCAAAATTCTTTTTCAGTTTTGTGGATTGCTTTCTTTACTCTATTGGTTGTTTCCTTTGTGGTATAGAAGCTTTGCCATTTTGCATGAATCCAGGTATTATTTGTTATGCAATTAGGATTCCACTCAGAAAGACCTTGCCTATGACTATGTCTTCAAGATTTTTACCTTTTATCATGCAGAGATTTATTCTATTTTTATACATAGGTTTTTCACTCATTTTGATTTGACTTTAACACAGGGTGAGAGAAATGGGTCTACATTTATTCTTCTGCATGTGGATAGCCGGTTTTCCATGCACCATTTGTTAAAGAAGCTGTCTTCTGTCCAGGCTGTTTTCTTGGCTATCTTTGGCCTCATCATTAAAAATCAGATGGCTGAACCTACCTAAGGTTGTTTCTGCACCCTTAATTCTATTCCAATAATCTATATATATCTATTTTTTGTGCCAATATCATGCTGATTTTAACACTGTAGTTTTGTGCTACAATTTGAAATCCAGGATTTTAAGGCCTCCTGCTTTGCTCTTGTTCACTTCCTTGTGTAGTTTAATTCACAGGTATTTAATTTTTTTTAAGCTATCACAAATAGGACTGTTTTCCTGATTTCTTTCTTTGTGGTTTCATCATTGTATACAGAAATGTATTTATGTTTGCTTATTGATTTTGTGTACTTTTACTTTGCTGTATTTTTTTTACTAGTTCTAAGAGTCTTCTGGTGCAGTTTTTTGAGAAGAAGCTAAGAATTACTGGGGTAAAGGGAAGATTTGAAGATTACTCAGAAGGTATAAAAAAAACCATTCACTGAACTTAAGTGTGTAGTACACGCCTGTAATTCCAGCACCTAGAAGGTTGAGGCAGAAGAATCACTGTGAGTTTGAGGCTACATAGTGAGTTCAAGGCCAGTGTGGACTATGTAACAAGACCCTTCTCAAAAAATATACATTCACTGAAATTGTAGCAGTTTGGGAAGGTAAGAAATTACTGTATGTATGCTCTAGCAACTCTACTTCTAGAAATCTACCCCATAGAACTGACATCAGGCATTCAAACAGATACTTGTACTCTAATAGCAACATTATTCACAATAGCAAAAGGTAGAAGCAACCCAATTTTTCATCAGTAGATGAATGGATAAACAAAATATAGTATGGTATACACTTACAATGGAATATTGTAATATTACAATGGAATATTACAATATTGTAATCTTGAAAAAGAAAAATTCCAACACATGCTAGAACATGGTTGGACCTCAAGAACAATGGCAGGGAAATTAGGTAGTCACATAAAAGTAATTTATGGCTCTGACTGTATGTCATATGTATATTTGGTTCTTGTATGTTATATACTGTATGTCATGTATATGAGGTTATTAAAATAGCCAGAGATACAAAGTAGAACAATTTGGGAAAAGTGTGAAGATGTTCTTCAATGTGTAGAGAGTCCATTTGAGAAGATAAAAAGCTACTCTGGAGTTTTCTAGTGGAGACAGTTATATAACGTTAGTGTTTGATGCTACTGAACCTTACACTTACAAATTATCAGAAAGGGTAAATTTTATGTTGTGCATAGTTTACCGTCACATATATGTAAATATATGTGTAAAAGATATTTCCATTCAGTTTTCAATATACTCACTCACCCCACCCACACTGATGCTCACCCAATACTTGCCATAAATTTAAATTCTTAATGGATGTTCATAAGCTTAAAACAAGTGATTTGATTTTGCCAGTATCAAAATTGCAACTTACCTATTCTGGATTTCATTACAGTCATTTTTTAGCACAAGGAAGATGGCACCTATAACCAATCCCATTACAATTATGACAATTATCTTTTCAAAAAAAGAAAAAAGGAGAGTTTCAGTTAGAGGTAAAAAGTATACAACATGCATGAAACTATAAGATATAATCAAATCTATCCATCAAGACATACAAACTTTAAATGCCCTGGTTAGAATCAATAGAAGAATATAAAATAGTGATTATTATTAGACTTATTTCTAAATTAAGTTGAACATTAATCTGCTTGTGTAACTGACAAGTCAGCAGAGCACATGACTGAAAAGCCAAACTTCCTTCCAGTATCCCATCAGGCACTGCTGCCGCGGGGCACAGGTTGGGTGCTGAACCATGATGAGTGCCAATGGGGTAACAGAACACACAGCACTGGCAAAGGTGTTCTGGAAGCAAAATAAAGTCCATGCAGCTAATTTTAACTTGAACTGACACTCAACTTTTGTACAAGTGCATGTGCAGTTTTATACTGCAAGAGGTTCAAGTGAAAGCAAGATGTCTTTACATTTACCACTAGAAATAAATACAGCTGCAGTGTTGGAAATGAAGCTCAGGGATGGAGTGTTTGCTTAGCATGGGCCAGACCCTGGGGTCAATGCTCAGCACTACAAAATGAATATGTAAAATTTTAAAAGCACACACAGAATAATTTCACCTAATAGAATTTTGACAATAAGGAAGTAGGGGTGAGCTAAGCCTCACCTATATCTCCTCTGGGGAGTCCCGCCTGCATGGGGAAGTGCACTGTCAGTTACCAAAGCAACCATCCAGCTTTCCCTGGGGCACGAAGTACTCCCTTTACTTCTCTCCTCTGTCACTGCTTGGCCATCAATCTCAGCCAGCGAGGCCTGTGGTCCACCTGAGCTACCAGCATTTGCATCCTCACCTGTCTCCACCTCCTCAGTCTGTGTAGATGGCTCATAGAAGACTGGACAAGCAACACTTTTATTTTTAGGAAAAAATGGCTTTTAGGTATGCATTAATTAGTAAAGGGTTATGTAGTTGAGGAATTCTATGTCTAAGCACCTATGGGTAATTTAAAAATATAGAAAATGATAATCTTTAAAAAATGCTACCACATATGTTGGAAAGTTCCAACCTTTTTTTTTTTTTTCTTGTCTTTTTGAGACAGGGTCTCACTATGCAGTTCAGGGTGGCCTTGAGCTCACTTTGTAGCCTAGGCTGGTCTTGAATTCACAAAGATCCTCCTGCCTCAGCCTCCCCAGTGCTGGGATTACAGGTGTGCACCACTATCCCCAGCTGTTGTTCCAAGCTTTTAAAAAAGGCTCAATACCACAAAAGTATCAACACATGAAGTAACTGGTGAAGGATATTTTTAGTATAAAGAAAACCAAAGTAAATGTATGGTCCCTGAGATAAAACTAAGATATTTAGCACCACGTCCCTAAAACATTCCTTTTGTGTTCCCAAGATTCATGCCAAGTTGAAGGTACACTGTAAATAGAGACCAAATGTCTGGATAAGCATCAAATGAGGCCCAGTGGCAACTGGGCGCAGTACTGTTATCTGTAAAAACTTCTTCCCTAACCATATGCTAAGTCAGTTGTCATATGCTTCTCATGGAATAGAACAGAGAGCTAATGATGTCACCAGTGTATGGATTAATCCATAAAACCCCTTACCTGCAGTAACCTGCTGCTGAGCAATTCATCTAAAGAGCCATCGGTGTACCTTCCCAGGGATGCTATTATTGGATACCTGTCCCTTACAGATTTTGCCGAGTGGCCCTATTCAGCACACACCACTCACAGAGCTCTGCTATGTGGTGCTACTTTTGAGCACTGTGGCAATTAGGATAGTTTCAACTTGATTGCCTTTGGGCTCTGCCATGGAGATTGGTGAAGCACATCTATAGGAGTGTCTCATGGGTACTGCAGCTGTGGCTTTGGGGTCTATGTCTGGTTCCTTGCTCCTTCTGCTTTGGTACTCTTCCTCTGTTATTCTTCCAGCCAGCCTGAACCAAGCAGCCTTGTTCCACCAAACCCTTCCATCATTATGTCTCTATTTTGAATGTAGCTCACTGATTGTGGACTGAAACTGAGAACAAAGTAATCCTCTCCTCTTTTAAGTATTATGTTCAGTATTGTGTCTCAGCATCAAGAAAGCTAAGATAGAAAATTGTCCCTAGGAGTGGGGTTGTTTCTGTGGCCATGTGGCTCAGAGGCATTTAGAGTTAGTTTATGAGTTTGGAAAGGTTTAGAGATGCTGGCTAGAGAGCCTTTAGAATGCTGCAGGTTGAGCCTGATGGGCGATTCTGGTCAGAGTTCAGAAAACCAGAATGCTGACAGGAATGCAAGCAGTAAAGGCCAGGAGCAGGAAGTTTCAGTTAAAATGAGAACTCCATTGACATTGGCCTATAGGCCATATGTTACATTCTGGCAGAAAAGTTGTCTATATTTTCCCCACTTCCTGAGACTGTGCGAAACTGAGATTAAGGCCAGTGGAATAACTAATCTGATGGAAGAAACTTCAAGACAGACTAATATTAAGGCTGCAGCATGGCATTTCTGGCTGCTTTTAGCCAGATTTATAGAAAGAATTAAGGGCAAAAGGCAGCGCATAAAACATTGTAAAACTTAGATTTGCGCTCAGAAGGAACCAGGTATAAAGTTGGGGCCAAAAGAGGTTCAAACTGTAAACAAAACAAACCTCCCCTCTTTCATGCTGTGAGTGTAAACCTTTCAGTGGAGAAGAGAGCTGCTGCACTTTATGCACAAGAAGGGCTTCGTAGAGAACTGGTCCCCTGGGATTCTCTTCACAATGTTCAGCCTTTCAGGCACTCAGAGCCCACTGCAGCCATGGTCCAAGAGGGTCTGGCTACTACTCCCACCGATAACCCACCATGGCACCATCCTGGGATGCTGGCTTTAACAACACAGTGATGTGGGGAGCCCCTGGAAAGATAGTGGGTATGCCTGTGGGAGTAAGGTCAAAGGTGCAGTGGGGGTGGAACAACCACAGAAGAAAGCTGCAAACTGCAGAGAAGCTATGCAGGCTGCAATCAAAAAGGCTGCAAGCACAGGTCATCTGATTCCTTCAGAGCTTCTAGCTTACCACATGTACTAGATACTAGGGATGGAGCTATAGGACAATGTTTCTCCCGCTTGGTTTGGGTCTTGTTTTGGTCCAATTCTTTTCTTTCCCCAATTCCTCCTTTTTTGAAATAGCAATGTTTACCTTTTGCCATTGTACCCTGTTTTTGTTTTAATGTGATATATTTTTCTTTATTCAGTAGTCAACTGTCTGTACTTATGAGAAAATAAGCTCCATGAGGGCAGTTTTATTTTTAATCGTGTTGTTCATTGCTTTATTAAATGCCCAAATGCAAGACACACTCTTGTTTTGAACTTATTAGATGAGCTAGTGGATGAAAATGGATGGCTACTAGAAAACCCCAAATGTAGATGACATTGCATTTAGTTTTCAGCAAATTTTTTTCCTCAGAGTATCCACTGTGTCTTGTCTAAGTCAACAACAACTCTAGGTCAGTAGTCCAAAAAAATACTAAGGAAATTCTGTAAGTGAAAACTTAATTGCATTTTACTTTAGAAATTATGCTTCAACTGTTTCTATATCCCAAATTGAGTGGGGATAAAAATACATGGCAACTATGGGTGGAAGATAAACATATGAAGCAGACTATACTGGGCCCAAATTGCTGCTACATAAGTATTTCACAGCACAGTTTAAAAACTGCCAGGTTACCTGAGCTATGGAGGCCTGGGGATTGCCTAGTAGATTTCTGAGTGAACGCCGTGCAATCCATCTGAGCTGATGAAAGAAGGAGGTGGCATAGGTTATCTCCTTGAAGCCAAAATTCCTCTTCTTCAGACTACCTGAGAGTGGCTCTAATTCAGCTTTTGTCTTTCTGTAGAAGGAGGAGTCAGCATAACACTCAGCTAATTTTTGTATGACTGGCTTGTCACAATTAGAAGACTCTTCAATCCCATTGGCTTTAGAATAAAAACAGATGAAGAAGAGAAATGTTCTTAACAGGTAAGAACTGATTTAACTCTTTCCACCTCTTTATGGGATAACACCTACATTCTAAAGTTTGAATATGAAAAACTGACTAATTTTGTCATTACTTTACACATTAGAAAACACAGCTGGCTAACCTCACTTCTGCTACAATTTTATGAATATAGTGAACTCACTTTTTTCTATCTGGATCCTAATTTTTAAAATAGACATCATATAGTTATACTTTTTTACATAAAAATATGATTCTTAGGTACAAATGCTAAAGTGACAAGATTCTTATTTTTAAAAAGTGCTATAAAACCAGCACATTCATTTTAATAGAATTTCCCCTTTCAACTAATAATATACAACTGCTCGTTTATAAATCTAAAAACTTGCATGCTACTCATGGACAACAAGACATGAATGTTGACTGTTAACAGAGCATAGCATTAATATTCAAGAAGCCAAGTTTTAAGTGGTAACAAATTACTAAACCTCAGCCAATTTAATTACACAAAAATTTGTGAATCTAAGAAATTTACACACCTTCACAGTCTTCTTCATCTCTACTTAACACCACAGCAGAGGAGTTTCCATTAATGATATCCAAAAAGAATTCTGCAGGGTTGCTGTAAGGCTCACTGTGGTAACCTGTGAGAGAAGACAACTCAAGAACACAACTTGCTGGCCTTAGAAAATAAACAGTACTTGCTTACAGGCGGTGGGTATGGAGAGGCATGGGAAGAGACCCAACAACTTCATTCTCATTTTCTTGTCTCTACTGTCCTCACTAACTTGTCTTTTCCTCTTATACATTCACTCATACAATATTTTCAAATCTTCTGTTTCTTAGCATAGCATATATAACCATACCATATATATAATTGCTAAGCTTCTCCGTCAACTTGCTCAGCTTGTGAGCCACCTAACACATCAGTAAAGTACACACCCAGTGTCTTCTTCAGTCCTGGAGGCCTGACTCTAGAATCCATATCTGGTCACTTGCCTCTTTCTCTTTATCACTGTTCCTCTGCTTTGCTTCCTGGCTGCCGTGAACCAAACATCTTTGTCATGCCTCAGCCTTCTACCATGATGTTTCTGCCTTGAAGCCAGTTTACCATGGACTGAATCTTCTGAAACCTTGAGCTACATGAACCTCTCCTTTAACTCGTACATGTTGATTAATTTATCTTAGGAACAGGAAAGCTAATTACCAGAAAACTGATACCAGAATTGGGGTTGTTGCTGTGATTCTACCAGACCATGCAGTTCAGAAGCCTTTGAAACTGGTATGTGGGAAATCTGTACTAAGTATAGCAGACTTATGAATGCTTTCAGTTCAACTAGTGAGGTGTCATAATACTTTTTTGTATTAATTAATGGTGCACACAGAATGTTATACTTGCATTTCAGCCTCTGTGTGCTTATAGCATCTCATCTGTTACAGTTTCCAACACTGAATGGCAGTGCTGTCATTCTATAGGTTTCACCCCTGCCAAGACCTTCACTATATTTTCAGACCTAGTTCTAACACTGGATCATTCCATTTGGTTGTGTGGTCATTTTGCAACATTTCAGCTAGTCAAATATATGCTCATATTACTGTTTCCTTTGTCATCTGAATCAGGGAGGGCTGCATTCCCTGGGTCTAGATCAGTTAATTCTTGCTCCATTTCCCTGTCACAGGAACTTTGGCTTACATAGCCATCATCAAAATCATCATCATCATCCACTCACACCACTCTTCTGTTACAAAAGCACGCATTTTACCATAATGTATGATCATCATCCATGCATGAATAATCTGATGATTCACTTCTGGTCTCCTTCAAATTTGGGTTTTTTATGTGCCATTGTACTGAATTGGGCTACTTCTACCAGAAAAAATCAAAAGAAAACTTTTTAAACAAATCCTGGAGTGGTGTGGGTCTACTGGACCCTCTGTGATGCTCAGGTAAACATAGTGGAACCAGTTAGAACATAAAGGTGGGTCTAAATCTTGTTTTGACACTTTTTCACACATGCACACTCCTTGACATTGACATATGACAATACCAAGTAGGTAAACACATAGATTGCTTCCTGTATCCCTCAGGGAGAGGTACAGAGAGGCACAGTCAGCTACCATAATGCTAAAGTACAAATTTTTGGTAGAAAAGTAAGGGATGGATCCATTGGACCCAGGCTTATGCCCTTATTATGACCAGAGATGTTAAACATTTTTTCCTCTATTTATTGGCCATCTGCATTTCTTCTGACAAGGAGATTCTATTCATTTCAGCTGCCCATTTTTTGATTGGGTATTTTACTGGGGGGTCTAAATTTTTTCAGTTCTGTATATATTCTAGATATTAGTGGAATAACTGGCAAAAATTGTTTTCCATTATGTATGTTGTCTCTTTGCTCTGTTGGTTGTTTCCTTTGCTGAACAGAAGTTTTTAATCTGAAATGATCTTTTTGCTGATTTTCAGTATTACTTCTTGTGCAAGTGGAGTTGTTTAGAAAGTCTGCCTATGCCTATGTTTTCAACAGTTTTACCTATTTTACCTTATAGCATATTGTTGCTATTTTTATTTGTATAAGAGTTTACGGAGAGAAGATTGCCTTGAGCCTCAGGAAAGACTTATCTTGGCCATTAAAGTAATACTGTAACAGCTGAGATGTTAGGGGGGCCAGGTGTGGTGGCGCACGCCTGTAATTCCAACACTTGGGAGGTTGAGGCAGGAGGACTTTTGTGAGTTCAAGACCAACCTAGGCTACAAAGTGAGCTCAAGGCCAGCCTGAACTGCATAGTGAGACCCTATCTCAAAAAGACAAAAAAAAAAAAAAAAAAAGAAAGAAAGAGAGATGTTAGGGAAAGGAGTTTTGTATTTTTAATGATATACAGGATAGCTGTACCATGTTAGGTGGAAGTATGAAATTGCTATTGTCTTTAGAGATTAAGTATACTTTAAGGAGATGTGTTTTAGTATCAATTTGACAAGGGGTAGAATGTGATAGTTAAGCTTGTCAACTTTATTAGCTTGGAAGCTGCCTAGGAGATTAGTAAAGTATATGCTGGGATGTGTCTAGGTGGTCTCTGGAGGTATAACCTGGGGGTGCATATCTGGCCTCGTGCCCTTTCCTCTATGGCACTGTTCCCCTATTCTGCTTCCCAACCACCATCAACTAAGCAGCTTTGTTACACTACTCCCTTCTGCTATTATGCTCCTGCCTTGGAGGTAGCTAATCAGGGACTACATTCTCTGAAACCGTAAGCCAAATAAACTCTCCTCATTTAAATTGTGTCAGGTAATTTATCCCAGCAACAGGAATGCCAACAAAACAATATTATATATATCCCACACAAGTCTTGATCTCTGTAGAGCATGTTACGTTAGTCCTTACTATCATAGAGCTTGAAACTGAAACAGCTAAGTAAAAAAATTAAATGCTTGGGTGAGTTATGCTCTCTGAACCACTGAAAAAAATCATTCATTTTAAAATATGAAGAACCAGGCAGGCCATAACTGTCAGAAATGGTAGCCTATCAAATCTGAATTTAGGGCTGGCAATTATATTGAATAACAGACCACTTGCAGCCAGTTAAAACTTAAATCTGTAATTTAATATTACTAAACAATGAAGTAGCTTCTCCATGAGCCCTCACCAAAGTGAAACAAGAGCACATACATGGGAAAAGCTGATAAACAACTATCTGTTATATGGTTAAGAAGCCCATGATACTGGCCCTTGCCAAAACTGTTCAACTGATAGAATAACTGGTTGTGAGTCCAACCCACTAACAGAGAAAGGTTACCATAGCTGGGAAGCAGAATGCATGCACCCACACTCAAACAGAACAAAACATGGGAAGAGATCAAGCAAAAGCTGCAAAATGTGGAAAAATTTTGGCATAAAACTGGCCAAAGATGTTTTAGAGTATGTCTTAGTTACTTTCTCATAACTGAGTCAAAACACGCAATACTCAAAGTTGAAGAAGGAAAGGTTTATTTCAGCTCAGTTTGTAGAGGTTTCAGTCCATAGTCAGATGGCTCCACAGCAGAGAAGCAGTCCACGGCAAAGCACGCAACAGGCGGCAAAGCAGCAAACAGGACACTTGCCTTTCTGTTTTATCCCACCCAGGCTACCACCCTTGTGAGTGAGGTCACCCATACCCAGGGCCTTCTGTCTGCAGTAAATCCATTCAGGCACAACAGAACTATGCTAATTCCAATCAGTGGACAAATTTAGTACCATACACCCTTAATCCCAGTATCATACACCCTAGATCTAAACAGCTCTGAAAAGCCCCACCTAGGAGTTCATGAGACTTTGAAGGGACATCTAGATACAAGCTGTAATAAAGTCACAGAACTCAAGGTATATCTACACAAAGATCAAACAACATTGCTGACCCACTCTGTTCTCTCCCCAGTTTCTATGCATAAAGAATCTACTGTGTGAACAAGTCAACCATACCTGCTGATTCAAAGTACTGCACAGCCTCTTGTGCAGGGCCATGAAACATTAGTTTTCCTGAAGCCAATAAGGTGAGACTATCAAACAACATGAAGATGGAATGCCGAGGCTGATGAATGGAGAAGATGATTGTTCGTCCCTGCCTAGACAGCCTAAGTTAAAAGAGAAAATAATCAATCATTAAGTAACTGAGCCTTACACTTCCTGATAAAACACTTAATTCCTGACATGAGGATGTCTGTTCCAAGTTTACCTTGATTTTCTCTTCCTAACTTCTTATCTCATCCCATATTATTCACTTGATTCCCGGGGAACCTAAATTTGAAGCTTTTCTTAAAAGGACTTGGGTGGGCTTCTTCAAAGATGGTGCAAGAAGACAGCAAAATGTGTGTGACAATACGGATTCCGGGGCAGTCCTCTGTAACACTGAATAGAATCTCACTACAGGAAGACCATATCATGAATACATTTCTCAGATAATCTATATATATACTCAAGTTTGGGAACTAATTAGTGAATAAATACGAAAAGCATGGTCACATGTCCAACCCCAATAGATCATAAGTCTTCTGACCCTTTCAGATTAGTTTTTATTCTTCTGCCTGATAATACAATTAACATTACTAAACACCATTTCTTTGCCAAATGCTTTAGAGATAAACTCATTTAAATTTTCACAATGTTGTTGTAATGCAATTCCAGTATTACCACTTCCTTTATTTTAACAAAAAGCTTATGGATCAAGCAATTGGCCATGGGCTCATAGTTCCCAAGCGGCAATGTCAGGATTTGACTTCTGGTCAATTTCCATAGCAGAAATGGTGATAAGTACATTTTCACAGGGGTTATTACTTAATGAAAAAAGGAACAAAGGCCAAAACTGCTGTCTCAAATTGTAATGAAAACATTTTATTAGATCATTTCAACTTAAACATTTGATAAGCACCTACTATATGCCAGCAGTATTTCCACGCTGTTCTGCTTCAAAGAGAAGTAAGCCAGAAGATCAATAATCTCAATACAATGAAAAATAAAAATAGCTGAGGATTTCTTGTAAACATAATATCAAAAGGCTCAACAAAATTGAACTCAGAAGAGAAAAAATATTCAGGGTGGAAGAACAAGGTGAACAAAGTGAGTGTGAAACAAAAAGATCTATTGGGAAGCTACAAGAAGCTCAGTGTTACAAACCAAAGACC